GCCCGGGGCCCAGCCAAACTAGGGGCCCCGACCTGTGCTGCAATGTGTGTATAGTAGATGATATAGGCCCTGATGAATTCGTAAAATGAAAATAAAAAAGAAAAAGTCTGTAGCTTGAGAGGCCCATCATCCAACTTCCAACAGAAGCCCAATTGCCAAGAGGCCTGAAGAAGGTACGCGCGCACAGGGGCGAGGCGGCGATTCCTTGTGTCTCCACGCCGGTTTGTTTTCTCGTTCGCCTCGCAGATCGGGCCACCGCCGGATGCTTGCAGGAAAGAAAGGTAAGTATCTAGAGAAATTTCTCTTTTCTTTGACCTCAATCTTAATCTAGCTAGTGATTAAAAATATTCTTCCATTTACAACAGTATAGCGGCGTTGGAGATTTGGAGTGGAGTTCATGTGTTTGCCGACTTGCTCCTCGACTTCTAGTTTTCTTGATGATTAGATTTGGATAGCCGAAGAACACAGATTCTCACTAATTTGAACAGCAACCTTCAGGTCCCTTTGTTCCTTTTCTTGCAAACATGTTGCCCAAAAAACATTTATCTGGTTCCCAAAAAAGAAGAAAGAGGAAACGAACAGATGAGTTCATTGGACTGCAGAAGGGTGCTATCAATGATTTTATTATAGCTTTTCACGATTTTTATCAATATATGGAATCAAAATTTTCCTCCAATGTCTTCGCTGGGCCAATTCATTTGAGTTCGCCCCGAGGCCTCCGAAACTCCAGGACCGGCGCTGGGAGTAGTATAGTACGCAGGTGGACATGCATTCACGTCGATCGCACGGGCGTACAGCTCTGGCTAGTTGGGGCGTGTGCATGCATGCCCACGTACGTCGTCTTTACTGGCCTTGCCGGGCCGCGGTCGCTCGCCGAATCAACACGCCCACACGCGCGCGTCAATGCGCGGCCGCGACGTTGCCGGCACCCACCTCGCGCCATCAGCCTCGCGGGCGCACGTACGGCGACCACGTCGGATTGAGATCCAGTGCCTTGACAGAGCCAAGGCACCGGCAAACAGTGCCGTGCCTTGCCCCCCATTTCTGTCCGTGGGATACGTCCGCGCGTGCGTGCGTGTGCTCCCGTGTCGGCCAACGGCCCCCCATGACAGAGCTCCGTGGCGAGCGCGTAATTACATTGGTAACAGTGCACGGTGGATCGTCTGCCGGCGCTGCATGCGTCCCTGCTCGGCCGCGCTGGCGCGCTCTAGCCAGGCCAGGCCTCGAATCCTCTTGCCAGAGCTTGGCGACAACACGCGATGAGAAACTGCGGCTGGGACGCCGGGTGTGAGTGTGTGCGTGCGTGCGTGATGGAGATGATGGGGCCACGGTGATAGCTTCAGCCATGGCTTTTCTTGTCATCATGAGATCGAGTACCATATAGCTATCCAGGCAAACGGTGCGGTCTATGCTATGCTACCTGCTGGATCGGGCAGGACAGGCGGCGACAACAGAATTTGAGTCCTCTTTTCTGTAAGAGTTATACTGGCAGAGGAAGAACCCCTACCAGTGCTCTGCTCGGCTCTGTATGAGATTATATACAGCTGGTGAATGCAGCCATGGAATGCTCAAGTAATTGACTGTGGAATAAACCATGTTGAAAGATACATGCGCATTAAACAACTTCTCTATTGATCATATTAGTACACACAAGAGAACACTTAAGAACACAAGACCATGTATCCAGGGGTTGTGCAGTGTAAGAAAACCTTGACACAATGCCTGGTGTTCGATGTTTCTTACCAAATATGTATCATTAGGTGCTTATGCCAAGGAACAAATATGTTGTATCATTAGGTGCACCTTCATGTTCTTCATGGGCACTTGGGTTTGCTCCATTTGAACAATTGTTGGCGAGAGGAGGCCCACAGAGCCCATGGTTGCCGACGTATATACATGGATCATTGAGTGTCTGTAGCTGCCTCCCCGAGGGGATTCTTCCTGATAGATCATTGTAGGACAAGTTTAGCCAGCTCAGAAATGTGAGGTCAGATAAACCTGACGGGATTTCGCCGGCCAAACTGTTGTAGGATAGGTCCAGAGATTCCAATTTCCTTAAGGCGCCGATACCATCCACGATTCTTCCATCTAGTTGGTTGCCGGAGAGATTCAGCGTCTGAAGTCCCTTGAGAAAAGATAGTTCCTCCGGAATATGTCCAGTTAGACTGTTACATGACAGGTCAGTCAGCACAATGGGGTTTGCGAAATCAAGGGTGTATTGACGCTCCTGCTCTTTCGTGACAGTCATTATGCTGTCGTGGCTGTAATTATTTTTGCTTCCTTCGGATTCACCTGTCATAGCTTTCAGTCTCCCAAGAGAAGAAGGCATCCTTCCTGATATGTTGTTATGTGCCACATCCAAGTAATGAAGACTGGGCAGATTTGCAAACTGCCTAGGAAGGTGTCCAGAGAACATGTTTGATCGTAGAACCAACACTTCTAGGCTTGGCATTTTCTCATCTATCCATGTTGGCAAACTACCAGCGAATACATTGCGCGAAAGGTCAAGAAAACTTAACCATGAGGCGTTTTGGAGGAAGTCTGGGAATTTGCCTGACAACTTGTTATTCTTCAAGTCTAGAATCGACAAGGAACAACCGAATTGAACACAATATGTGAAATCGGGACTCCATGTAATATTTTCTGGGCATCTTGGAAAATCCCCTGTGAGTTGATTGCTCGACAGATCCAGTTCCAACAAATGATTCAATTGACACACATATGGTGGGATGGTACCTTCGATATGATTGCTCGAAAGATGCAACTGAACGAGTACCGGAGCTGTGAGATTTGCTGGGAGCTTCCCTGACAGGGAATTTTTTGAGAGATCCATTAATTGAATCGATGGTAGATCCAACTGTGCTGGAAAGGCCCCACTCAGTTCATTCCTTGACAAGTAAGTACAACACTGAAGCATGAGAAGAAACAGTCCAGAACCATTCAGGCAAGACATCACTTATGCTTGCGTTGGAAATATCAAGCTGAGTTATGCCAGCTTGCCATCTCAGCCACGTCGGGAATCGAGGGCCCAAGTTACATGATCTGAAGTATCCTGTATCCAGTCTAAACGGTGGAACCCAGTTGCCGTTTAGATCCAATGTCAGAGAGTTGTGTGAAAGGTCAAGATATTCTAAGCTCACTAGGTTTGCAAAATGTTCCGTCGACAGCACGCCACTGATCTCAGCCACGTTGTAGCTCAGATCAGCCGTTTTGACAGGCCATTTCATCTTCATCCTCTCTCTCTTTCTCTCCTGCAAGCAGAGCAGCCGTTTTGGTTGGAGTGGCAGATGTGGGCTTCACCCCTGTCTCCAAGCAATGGAAGGAAAGCTTAGGTGGTAAGCAAGTTGACCGGAAGTAGACCAGTGCAAGCATGCAAGTAAGCAGCAGTTTCTTGGAAGGTGCTGTGCATTGTGTGTGTGTGAGCTGTGCACATCCAGCCCTATGAAAGGACCCCAGGTCCTTGGATTGTAACAACGAAAGCCAGTTGAGAAGCAAATCATTCAGCTTCCACTAGTGGTGCCACCGTGTCTCCTGGCTAGTACGTGAGTGTGTGTGCTTGCTAGTGCTCGTGCTAGTGATCCTCGTCCAGATACTCTGCTCTTTCTTCAGTCTGGTACTACTGACTAGTCCGTAGTTTTGGGCTAACGGTAGATAGAGCTATGGGATTCAACTGATTGGACACAAGCTTTTGGTGATGTGGAGTCTGCACACGAAAGTCCGCACGCCCACTTATTGCTACTCCCAAGAAGATTAATGCTTTGTCAACTTTCAGCCAGATTCGGATGAAGAATCGACCGAGAACCCAGCTTTCAACTGAAATATTTGATCTAAGAAAGTTAGAACCGATCTGCTTTCGACTCCGGACTCCCCAAATTTCAACTTTAGTAGCATACGGAGAAGGAGAATGCAAAAAGGAAGAGAAGAAGATGAAAACCCAGATCTGGGCCGGGCCGCCTTCTTCGACGCCGGCGGCGCGATCGGTGGAGGCTGCCAGAGGGCCGACGCCAAAGTTAGCCGCAGGCGGAGGGCAGCAGACCGCGCGGCGACGGCCGAGAAGACGTCACGTGTGGACGGCGCGTAACGTTGGGCCCCACACGTAGCCACGTCGGCGGGGACTGGGAAGGGCATCCTTTTATCGGGAGAGGGAGGTAAAAGCAAGCTGGCTTCTCCATCATCACTTGTATGGGCCATGGCATCTTGTATTTAGTTAATTTTAGTTTTCTTTAGGGTCCTCTAGTCGGTATTGTAGAAAATTTGATTCGAATGCCAACTTCCGGGACCTTTCACCCTACCCATCTTTCAAAACAAATACCCTGGCTACAAGCATATGAGGAAAGGGCACCTCTAGCTCTAGCGGTCCATACAAATAAGACGGCAAGTGTTACACGGAGATCCAACAAGGTGTATAACAATACCAAGCACTAAATTTTGATTTTTCATCAAAAAGAAAACAAGCAAACATGTAGCACGCTTTGGCTCCTGACTCTTGCTTCATATGCCTCACTGCTCCTCCTAACCGGAGTTCAAATTTTCAACAACCCTTCCACGCAAAAGTAGCTTATACCTAAACCTCCTTGTATTGTCATGTCATAATCCTCCAACCTCAGCACAGCAAACAAAATTACTTCTGCAGAAACAGCATAGACGCACCAAGTCAGATCGACAAACTGATCCATGGTATAACAGATCAAAATACTGCTATTGCATTTTTCAGGTGCAACAAGAAATCTGAGCACTATTTCTCTTTCGTTTTGTCAACACCCAAGACACTTCATGATCCGCAAGACTAGGTTATACATGATAAAGCCAACTTCCCATCTTTCATAAACCCAGCGGGTTTGCATTTTGATGTCGCACACAAAGAGTTATCCCCTCTGTAAAAAAATATAAGAGCGTTTAGATCACTAAAGAGTGATCTAAACGCTCTTATATATTTTTTTAAAGAGGAAGTACTAGATGAAGTAGTGTGTTCACAGACCTGTTGATGGGTTTGCAAACAGCTACTCTTGGGGCTTCATGGCCGGGAACAGGAGAACTTCCTGAAAATGCATCAGAAAGATGAGTTCCGTAATGCAAGTCAAAAAGTGTTGCACTGCATGAAAGAACACAAATAATGGAAATAACCTAACCTTGATGTTCTGGGAATCTGTCAGCATCATTGTAAGGCGATCAATTCCCAAACCCCAACCACCAGTCGGAGGCAGTCCATACTCGAGGGCAGTGCAGAATGTTTCGTCCAAAGCCATAGCTTCATCATCACCAGATTGACGATCCTGGAATATTGTAAGACCATAAAAATATTTAACTTCTCAACAAGCAACTCATGAAAGTAGAGCAATGCGGGCTCCATTAGTGTCCCATAAGTGTACCCCCTTCCATAGCTTCACTGTTCTTATAAGTTCACACAAAATATATGCACAACATTCAAGTTTCCCAGCATACAGTCTAATTATCAACATGAAAAAATATAATGAGGTTACTTGGGCGTTCGCCAAGTTCAAAGCATACAGACTGAGGTGGTTACAGCAAGAATTACAATTCACAAGGTTATATTTAGCTCTCAGGCAGATTCAAACACGTACCTTTAATTGTTCCTCAAACCGTTGCCTTTGCACAACAGGATCGTTCAACTCAGTGTAGGCATTGCACACCTAGAAGACATTTGCAGATCAGAGTGTAAGCCAGAATAAATGAGATCAGGTATCAAAGAACCTATATGAAGAATAGGACATACCTCGTGTTTGTTAACAAAGAGCTCAAACCTTTCTGTCAACCCAGGTCGGGACCTATGCCACTTTGCCAATGGACTCATTATCTCTGGGTGGTTGATAATAAATGTTGGGTTCACACATGTTTCCTCCAAGAAATGGCCCACTAGCTGTTAAAAGAACATGGCTTGTAAAATTAGCTAACAAATCATCAAGAAACTTAAGCACAAAGGCACAAACCCAACGGTAATTTAGATCATGACAACAAATAATACCACTGAGATTGTGAGTTTAGTTTTCATAACACAATGCAAGTTGCAAAATATGACGACAAATAAGAGGTTCTATGGGAATGCAACTTTCTTCACCAAGCACTTGTCATATAAGCTAAAAAGTATGGCCAAAACTACCCAACAAAAAGAATGAAGACACAGCATCAGATGCAGTCCCCAAAAGTCAAAAGTAAAACCTTGTCAAGCAGCCGTGTTGTTGTCTGGGGAGGTGGACATTTAACATCATACTTGGCACATGCATCTATCAGATACTTGTTTGTTTCATCACTGGATATATCTTTTGGTATCTCCAGTTTGGCCATAGCCTCCAGTCCTTCAATCATGTCTATCCTTCTGCAATAAGGCAATAAATTGGGTGATCAGTTAAAAAGCACAAAAAGCAATTTAAATGCTACTAACCAAATATTACCTCCGTCCCAAAAGGCTTGTCTTAGATTTATCTAGATAGGGATGTATCTAACAATAAAACGTGTCTAGATACATCTATATCTAGACAAGTGTAAGACAAGCTTTTTTGGGACAGAGGGAGTACATCTTAATTATGCCTACTTATTACCTAAAGGGAGGCGTGAAATCAATCTCTATCGGTGGATTATCAACTCCATTGGCATGATATTTTATCTTATACCCACCTGTCAGCTCCTTAACCATACCTGTCAACATCAAAATAAAAATTATTGACAGAAAAAGAAGAAAGTTACAAAGGAAGAAGGAAAATATGGATGACATAGATTCTCACCAGATATCATGGCTTCAGTAAGCTCCATCAAGTCATTGTAATCTGCATACGCCATATAAAACTCGACTGTTGTGAATTCAGGATTATGTGTTAAATCAATCCCTTCATTCCTGAACTGCTTCCCAATTTCATAGACACGGTCCAATCCACCAACAACCAATTCCTTCAGATAAAGCTCAGGTGCAATACGCATATAAAGCTTCATGTTTAGATCATTATGGTGTGTGACAAAAGGCCTTGCAGCGGCTCCACCGGCAATCATGTTCATCATTGGAGTCTCCACCTAGAGACATGTAGATAGTTCAAACATCCGAGCATCATCAGAAGTACAAGAAAATATATTTGAAGAATCCTACCTCCAAAAAATCAAGTCCATCAAGAAACCTTCGAATAAACGAGACAATCTTGGATCGGGTCTTGAAGATATGTCTCACTTCATGGTTTACCATAAGATCAAGGTATCGTTGACGATAACGAGTTTCCTGGTATCACAAAACAAGCAGTTCAAGAATCAAAGCACCACCAATGGAAATGATTAACATTTGAACATGTGGCCAAAGGTGGCATGCTGGATTTTTCAGAATTGACAGCCCGTTGACACAAAGAGATAACTGAAAGTCACATCCATCAACACTATAACTTGGTCATGCAAATTAGAAATACCAGGAGCAACTCAGCAAATTAAGTTGGTAAAGAAACTGGCATTGTACTATCCTCCACACCCACAACAATGCAAACAAATGGGTGAGATTTAGCAAAGAGGAAGTGGACATAAGATCTATTCCTTATCATATCACATGCCTAAGGGTGCTCATAAAGCCTTCAAAGACCTGCCTAGTGATTTGTTATATATTTATGTCCTCAATGGCAAGCATTTTACTGCCTAAGATTATGTTACATGTGAAAGTAAACTGCAAAAATGTGCTAAAACTGATTACAGACCACGCACAGAAGGAGATAAACCAACAAGGAAGATTAAATATACAAAATTCTATGCTACAAAAAACAATGTTACTATTGGGAATGGGCCTTAATCTATGGTGATGGTTGGTCGATGTTGGGTTTCCCAGGGTCTCTTGAGTTGGGAGACGAAAGCCTAAGCTTATGACACCAAGTTAGAAATGGACCTTAATCTATTCCATGGGCCAAAAGGCCAAGTTCCCTACATGTAAATAAGAAGGAAAATATGCATATAACACCGTATGCAATATCCCTAACAGTTACTACTTGCTTGACCGCTACTCCACATCGCAGAAAGAATTTAGTGCAAGAAAAGTAAGAGTCAGAATGAGAACAAACCTGGTCCCTCAAAACATACTTTTCGATATCCCTACACATTCCTGGGGCCCATTGCGTAGGCACCGCACTTCCTTCACTCTTCTGTAAAATATATACTACTTATGTAAATAGTTCAATTAAGCTAACAACCCAACTAAGACTTAAGAAACCAGAGGAAAGACTGCAGACTGAAAAATAAGTAATGCATGGATGGAAAAACAGTAATTTCAAGAACCAACTTTCGAACAGATTCTGCTTTGTACCTGCCGGGGCATCATATGAAGACAAGGAGAGAGCACAACAAATTTCCGTGGGAATACACTGAGCTCCCCTCTATTGCTTTTTCCTGATGATTAACAAGTGAGAATTCCAAGTCATCAGACACAGTTCAACAGCAAAAAGAAACAACCTACATGTATAATTTTGTTAAAGAAAAAGTTAAACAAACCAGCTACAGATATAAGCTATATATACAAATTACAAAAAAAAAACTATCAATCATAAAAAATACACACTTATTTACTATTTTATAAAGAAAAATAAATTAAAACCACTCTGTCTGATAAAACAAGGTTTGTCCAACCAAGTATGAAATCAGACTGCAAACACAAATGACTGAACTGGCGATGCAGCAACGTGTTTAAGTAGCTGATTAAGTAGCAACCATGAAAACTCAAAAGCCAAGAACTGGTACGGTTCTTTCAAAGTTAAAATTTGGATGTGGATGTTATAATCAATTAAGTTGCAAGCAAAGCTAACATACCTGGAATTCCACATATACCAACAATATCCCCTCGCTTCACACCAGAATGGAAACTAGAGAATTCAGTATCTTCCAACTCCGAGGTCCTATTAATGGGTAAAAATGTGAGAATGGAAGTCTATACATTTCATGAGATCGGTACTGATAGCAAAATAGACAGGCTGAAAAGTGGCAAGCCATCCAAACAGACACCATAAAGTTTACCTGGCATCAGCCATTACTTGAACCTTCACGCCATCACCATAAAGATCATAAAATAAGAGCTTAGAAGATGATGTTCTCTTGTTCATGATCCTCCCTTTGAAAAACAAAAGCCACAGATCAAAACCATGTCTAATCTCAAATAATACTCCCCAGGGCAATGGAACAATATATACCTGCTAGACACTCTGTAACATCAGCAAGCTTCTCCCCCTCATTAAGGCCCTTGTATTTCTCAATATATCCAGGCACAGAGATGCTAGCTAGGAACTTATGCGGATAGGGGTTGGCACCCCCGGCCTTGAGTGCATCAAGGGTCCTGAGCCTGTTCTCGTAATATTGCTGCAGCAAGAAACACATTGGTCAGAACTTCCCGCAAAGGGAAAGAACGCAATTCAGCTAATAGTACGCCAGCAAGAAAGCGGCACCGGTATGACATACAGTAGGATCCATGTCCTCATCATCGGCTGCCGCAGCCGCCTGCTGGGGCGCTCCACCGGCCGCCGCCGCAGCAGCCGCCTACAACAATTAAAAGACACAACACACGGAGATATTAGTGTTTCAGCAAACAAGAAGGGAGCTCTCTCTCAGAGCCCAGCCGCAGAACTGCATCAGAAAAGTAGCACGAGAGAAAAAAGGGTCAGCATCACACCTTGTTCTTCTTCTCTTCCTCCTTGAGCCGGCGCTGCTCCTCCTGCTTCCTCCTCTTCTCCTCTTTCTTCTGGGCGCTGCAAGCCAACAACAACAGCCAACAATCAAGAGCCGGAGCACAACAAACAAGCAAGCAAGAGCAGACGACGACGCGCGCGAAACGGAGGATAATAAGAAGAAGCGAGGAAGGGGGCGCACTTCTTCGAGACCCTCGGCTCCTCGCCGCCGCCACCGTCCGCGGCGATCTCCGCCCCCGCGAGCCTCTCCGCCAGGCCGTCGGCGCCGCCCTCGCCGTCCGCCATGCCGCGCCGGGTGCTAGGGTTTCGCCGAGGGGGAGGGGGAGACACGGATGGGATTGCGGAGTGCAGAGCAAAGCGGAGGCGCGGCGGAGGGGGCCGAGGGGGTTTTAGCTAGGGTTGTTGCTTGGCTCCTGCGCTGCTGCTGCGGTGGGCCCGCATGGGCCTGGTGCGCGTAAGTTTTTCTGACGGGCCGGGCTGGTGTAAGTGGGCCGAGCCCACGTTCCGTCGCTTCTCTCTGTTTTCCTCCTGCTGTGGGGTGGGACCGGAGGCGGCTGGGCTTAGGCGAAGTCATCCGAGGAGCGGCGGCCATGGAGGAGCGGAGAGGAGGCGGCGGCGGGGGCCGGGGCTCCGGCAAGGGGCCGGCGGCGGGGAAGATGATGTCGCTCAACGAGTTCGTCTCCTCCATGGCGCCCCTCATCGACCTGGAGAAGGTTTGCTCCCCGGCTCCGGCCCTTCCCCTCCCTGTTGTTTCGATGTTGGAATGGGCTGCGATGATGAGCTGCTGCTGCGGCTTGGTGCGCAGGCGGCGGAGATATCGGCGGAGTCGGAGGCGAGCTCCAAGAGGAAGGAGAGGCGGGGGTCCGTCATGCCCAACCTCAAGTGCACCGACGCCCAGGTAGGTCGGAGGTTAATTTGGCTGGCTCCATTGCTGACTCGAGTGGTGCGCAGGTTTGGTTGGCGCTAATCTTGCTTGCTCTGTGTTACCTTTCGTGGGTAGAGTAGACGGGGCTGATGGGGAAGACGCTCCTGGAGTTCCAGCCCAACAAGGGCGACGTGCTTCCACCTCACAAGGTGAGCTTGCTTGTACTTTCCCCTCTTCTCAGTTTGGCTGCTTGCGAGGGTACGATTTCTGCAACTCTGGTTAGAAACTATTGCTGAAAATGTGGTCTGGATCGCTTACCGTCGTACATATGCTGTGCAAATCGTCTCTTATATGCCTTTATTATGCCACTTGAGTAGTGTAATCTATCTATGCATGAGCATGCAATGTTATTAATCGCTGAAATGTCTAATCAAATACTTGCATAGTTGCACTTGTCAAGTTCATTACGAATCACATCTCCGGGACTTTTTTGGGGTTAGCACTCTGTTTCTTTTGCTAGCTGCACTGATCTTGCTTGTTTATGTCCCCTCCCCTCCGCTGTTCTAGTTTGGGACGCACGACGTGGTTGCCCTCAAGCCAAACAAAGCAGATGCTGGATCCCCTGCACTTGGGCAAGGTGTAGTTTATCGCTTGAAGGTATCTTGCTCTGAACCAAGGGTTGTTGGCTATCTAAGTCTTTGCATTGTAGTAGGCATACTGATTGCAGTGTTGTGTCTGAACAAACAGGATTCTTCCATTACCGTCGTTTTTGATGATATTCCTGAAGATGGATTAAATAGCCCTCTCCGTCTTGAGAAGCTTGCGAATGAGGTACTCCAAAAAAAATCCGCATGGTTTCTGTCTAGAATTTCACAAGCACAGCATATTTTTCACCTAGCACCTCTTTGTTTTTTAATCCATGATCCATTATTTTTTACTTGCACACCAGCATTATCATACCGTTTATTAATCCCTCTTGTAGGTTACTTACCGCAGGATGAAGGATGCATTAATTCAACTTAGCAAGGGCATCCAAGCAGGACCTTCCGCAAACCTTGTTCCTGTGTTATTTGGAGAGAACTCACCTATGCGTTCCAAGGATGCCGTGAAGTTCAGTCCATTTAATAAGAATTTGGACGACTCGCAGGTTAGACTTTAAAAAAAAAAATCTTCTGTGTTGCTGCCTATGTTCCATTTCAGTTCTGGCCCACCCAATTTGAGTAGATAAAAAAGAATATGCTATTAGGACCTACTGGTGTTCATGAGAAGTCTAGAACAGTTAGGTTTAACATCTAATTTGCTAATGTTGCTATCATATGCTTAATTGCATTACATGAAGTAAATCATATATGAGGCAATGATTTGGTTCCTTATCATTATAAAGAAGGGAATCTGTTTTTTTGTATAATCAATCTTGTGGTGAAAGCTGCAAACTGACCCACACCCAAATGGGACCCAACTTGCAACTCTGGGATGCATTTCGTAATGTTCCACATCATAACACCACAAAGAATGCTGTTAGGCTTTGGTACCTGCCTTGTAGGAGTGCCAGAGAGAAAGCTTTTAGTGAATTGATTGTTGGAGTATTGAAATACTATTGTACATCTATGCTATACTTGAGAACTAAAGTAGCTGATGCCTCCTGATGGGCAAACTGGATAACTCATCTTGATAGGTTCTCTTACATAGTTTGTTTGTGCTCTTGAAGCAGCGCACAGGTCAATCTAGTTCTAGTATATAATTTTTTCAACATCCTTGTTTGGATCTGTAGTTACATTTGTTTAACACTACAACAACAACAGGGCCTTTAGTCCCAAACAAGTTGGGGTAGGCACGTTTGTTTAACACTAAATCAAAAATATTGCAATGAATGTTTTTTGCTTTTTATGACATGCCTTTGATTTTTTTACACTTGTCTTCATGTACCAGTGTCAGCAAGCATTATAAAATTAAACATCTGTTATAAATTTACAACTGTAGGCATGCAAAGTCAATTGTTCTATGAAATATAGAGAAATGTAACATATTTCTTGTGTAGAAAGATGCTATCTCGAAGGCCCTCAGATCAAGGGATGCTTTTTTGCTTCATGGACCTCCTGGAACTGGGAAGACAACAACCATCATTGAGATAATATTGCAGGAGGTCAAGCGTGGAGCGAAAATTCTTGCTTGTGCTGCTTCCAACATTGCTGTCGATAACATTGTTGAGCGACTCTCACAGTACAGGTTGCTAAAAAAAAGTGTAACATATATTTTTTGCTTCCATCATTCTTCCCATAGTTTCTGTGGGGAAAATGTTATAATCATATATGTAGCCCTTACAAAAAGTGGATTCTAGTGACCTAATCATCTGAACCCTAAGTTACTTAAATATCCTTATTATTTCTTTCTGTAGAACAAAATTGGTGAGGTTAGGGCATCCTGCCCGTTTACTACCGCAAGTGTTGGACAGTGCTCTTGATGCACAGGTGAAACCCCTGTTTAAGTTGTAAAATTTGCTTTTGTACTGGGGAACCATGAAGATACATTCCTTTTTAGCTCATAAGTTATGCTTTCGATCACATTTAACTTCAATACGCATCCACTACATGGTTAAGTGTACCCACCTTTGCCTTCATATGAGATTTTATGGGAATTCATGTTATGTTTTATTTCACTCTACCATACATGCAACTTATGATTCAAATAAAGATTTTGGTTGGATAGTTTTTCCTATTTGCTTATGCCTTTTTTTCTAACATAAGAAATTCTACTATGTTTTTGTTATTACTTATTGACTTAAGCAACTTAATTGATTAGTTTGTATGTCCCATTCAATTTAAAATGGGTGGGCTATATTTGGCAGATGTATTATCTGTGATGCCTTAATGTGTCCCTGTTAACCTGATGATAGTTGGCCTGATTAACCTTCTGGGACCAGGTACTGCGAGCAGATAATAGCAGCTTGGCCGGAGACATTCGCAAGGAAATGAAGGTAACCATTAATTTCCAAATTCCTAACTTTTTTGTAATTCTAGGACAGCATGTCTATCCACAACTATTAACGAGCGGTCTAGTGTGGAAGATGTCCTATTTAGATAGTACCAATGGTTGCATTTTCATTCGTGTGCCTTGCTTTTCTTGCCCAGTCTATTAGTATGGCATACCTTCTCAGTCCTCTTTGGCTGACGTAGTTTGATATTTGTTGATATGTTCTGTTCTTCTGTCAGGTGCTTAATAGCAAATTGCTGAAAGCTAAAGATAGAAACACGAAAAGGGACATCAGGAAAGAGCTTAAAACCCTTGCCAAAGAGGAGCGAAAACGGCAGCAGCTTGCAGTCGCTGATGTCATAAAAAATGCAGATGTTGTGCTGTCAACTTTGACAGGTGCATCTTCCAAAAAGATAGCTGGCATTACATTTGATCTGGTAATTATTGATGAGGCTGCTCAGGCACTCGAGGTGGCCTGTTGGATAGCCTTACTGAAGGTAAGTTGTAACTTACAGTTACGATACAAGTTGAGATAGCAACTTGTCTTCCAAAAGAGGATAAATTGTTAACAGTTAAATAGGTCTGTGTATGTTTGAGGCTGGTTTTTGTATTGGTGTAAATTGTGGCACATCGGTATGAATATATGATAAAACTCTGTAAGGATGTAATGTTAATCTGCTGTAATTTGCATAAGTGTCACCGGTAGACAGATCGTTGGGAATATAGTTTTTGGCTTTACAGTCAAGGCACCCTGCTTCTGGTGGTTCATTAGTTTCGGGATTTTCAAATGGTCTTAGCTGACTATGCCATTAGCAATGCAGTTGTTTCTCTGTTTGACATGATTGGCATGCATAATGATTTGGATAAATGGTTACTCTTATGTTCTTGTTAAGGTAGCATTTGTGTTATGGAGCTTCTCATTTATGTGTTTATCAGTTCTATATTCTTGTCGTATTCAGGGTCAAAGGTGCGTGCTTGCTGGAGACCATCTTCAACTTCCTCCAACGATCCAAAGTGTTGAGGCTGAGAAGAAGGGTATGGGAAAGACACTCTTTGAACGCCTTACTGAAGGTTATGGAGAAGAAATCACATGCATGCTCACTATCCAGTACAGGATGCACGAGCTAATTATGAACTGGTCATCAAAAGAACTTTACAATAATAAGGTGTGCTTTCTCTTACATTATTGTGCTACTTGTATTTCAATCTCTCTTTCTCTTTACGCTACTATTTTCTCATGTTGTTTTTCCTTTTGTATTCTCAGATCAAAGCACATTCTAGTGTTGCTGGGCATATGCTCTATGATCTTGAAGGAGTGAATAAATCTTCTTCAACAGAACCAACTATTATACTTGTTGACACTACAGGGTCTGTATTCTCTGGTGCTTCCCCCTCAGTGGCTTGTTGGAGTACTCACACATATTTTCGTCCCAACTAGATACATCTGTATGTAGACAAATCTAAGACAAGAATTTGGGTCGCAGGGAGTAGCAAACTGTGTGCATGCAGTGAAACCTTGGCTATTTTTATGTTTTCCCACTCTCTGCCTCGAGTTGTAGTTAAGATACTCTTGTACAAAAGTAGCACTAGCTGGTGGCTTGACTGAAGAGAGATATTCCATATGCTAATACAATAATTTGACAGGTTCGATTATTATTTCAAGTGTAGACCATCCTTTGACTGATACTAAAAACATTTATATTTTCTGAATGATGAACAATATGAATGTTTTTTAAATGTGTCTTTTATAATAATGTTCTTAAAATGATATGTAAAGTACTTCTAACATGTCTGAAGTACTTTTTAGGTGTGATATGGAAGAAGTGAAAGATGAAGAGGAGAGCACCATGAATGAGGGCGAGGCTGCAGTATCCATTGCCCATGCCAAGTTACTTGTTGAGAGTGGTGTCCGTGCAATTGATATTGGCATTATTACTCCATATTCTGCACAGGTTTTTTTTTATCATATGCTCTCTGTATTCATCAAAATTTATAGGTAGTAGATAATTATTAGCCATGCGTTCTTCATGCCTATGTATTCAGTAGTATCATGTTTAGTTGTTTACACTCGCTAGTTGTCTCCGTACGTATGTATTCAGTAGTATCATGTTTAGTACTCCCTCTGTTCCTAAATACTCACTACTGTCAAAAACGCTCTTATATTATGGGACGGAGGGAGTATAAGTCTTTTTAGAGATTTCAATATGGACTACATACGGAGCAAAGTGAGTGAATCTACACTCCAAAATATGTCTATATACATCCGTATATAGTCCATATTGAAATCTCTAAAAAGACTTATATTTAGGAATGGAGGGAGTATCACGTTGCTGCATGTTCTTTTTGCTGTTCTGCTCGAGTCTGCACATATTGGTTGGTTGTGCGTTGTTTGAAAGACTCTGTTCTTCTCTTTCTGTTACATTTCATCATTATAGCTTTTGGCTTGCAATTCATTTATCTGTTAGAAATTGATTTTTGGTTCCTTGGATGGTGCAACAGGTAACCTGCCTGAAAATGCTGAGAAATAAAGATGCTAAATTGAAGGACTTGGAAATATCAACGGTTGATGGATTTCAGGGTAGGGAGAAAGAGGCCATAATCATTACAATGGTCAGATCCAACCCAAAGAAAGAGGTAAGCTTCCTTGTGTGATCTTCCTAGGTTGAAAATTATCCTCTAGGCATTGATGTTGATTTTGCATTGCATAGTTGATAGAAAAAAGGAGAGGGGAAGTTCCATACAATTAAATGTCTATCTAATAAAAAAAAAGAGTGAGCATTTTATATATGGCATGACTGATCTGCAAATATTGGGTGTCTGCGGCCCTAAGTATGTGCGATGAACAGAAAATCTGTTTTGTTCTTGATTATGTTTGGACATAAAAGGTGGAGATTCATGTCCACTATGCGGGCAGCTTGGATGCTCGAGCGAGCTCTTGTCTAGTTGTAAAACTAAAACCTATATTCATTTGCTTCCTCAGGTCGGGTTCTTGAGCGACCATAGGCGGATGAACGTCGCCGTGACACGAGCCAGGCGGCAGTGCTGCATAGTGTGCGATGCCGAGACCGTAAGCAGCGACAGATTCCTGAAACGCTTGGTGGAGTACTTTGAGGAGAACGGCGAGTACCTGAGTGCGTCTGAGTACCAGAGCAGCTGACCATCATAGCATGATACGCTGCTCTTGTGCCCGCTGCGCGACCACGGCAGAGGTACCGGAAACAAGCAACTGGCGACAACACAAGTGGACAGGTTGGTGCAAACCCCAACTGATGCATACATTTGCCACAGAATACTACAATCTGGTTAAATTGTTCACCGTGTTGTGTGTGGTATAGCAGTTATAGCCACTTTGTCGACTCCTGCTCTTGGTGTGAGTTTGTTGTTATTATTATTTTTCGGAGACTATATGAAGTACAGTACTATGGATTTATTATGAGATTGATCCAATTGTCATAAATTTCTCTGAATGCGAAGAAAATCTCCAACCTTTGTGCCTTTGGGCAGCAGTAATATATTGACATGGTAATAATCAAATGTTCAAATGATTCTCACACCAAATATATTCTTTTACAAGCATGGTACGCACCAACAACGTGCTTCGACAAGAAAGGTAGGGAAACCTACTGGCTTGTATTCAGCTCAAGACACATGAGCACTGGACTAGAAGAATCACATCGACAATCAACACACCACAATGAACAAGATGAACAAATATTACATGGATGAATTCATCAGCAATACATCAACCATCGTAGTACTGTACATCAGTAAGCGCTGGGAACCACTCATCGGTAATACATCAACCGCGTGTCGAGATCGTATTACTTCATTCAGACACACTGATGCCAGTGAATCTGAAGACCAAGTACTGTATTTAGTTGCTGTCGTGTCTAGACATTCAATTGGTGTCTAGATATGTTACAGTGAAAAAGGAAGAGCAATTACCAACACAAACGAGCAAGCAGAGTGAAGTAACTAGGACTCCTCTTCTTGGACACGACTCCATCCTGCAGACTCCGCCTTCTTCTTCTTTCTAACAGCAAAGCCAGCCATGAAACCGAGCAGCATCGCAAGCACCACGCCGCCGGCAACTCCCAAGTACCTCATCTTCTCCGGCATCGCACCGACCAACTTACCAGGCGCACCGCCGGGGGTACCGACTTGCGGCGACAGTATTTCGACCATATCATGGACTTGCCCATCATGGTTCCCAACGTACATCAGTGTCAACCTCTCCCTTGTGGCCACAAGCTTCGCGTACCCGAACTCGCTGCCACGGTACATGGACCGCTGCGGCTGAGGGAATATGGGGACGTCAGGGTGGTCAGGCCTCGGCTCCCAGCTCGGCTGGAAGTCCTGCCCGGCCATCCCGATCACGACATGCACAGGGGCACCAGGGTACACGAAGCTCGACGACGTGTTGAGGCACTGATACTTCTTCATGGGGCAGAACCTCTCATACCTGTGAATGTGCCCCCACAGAGCGAGCGTCACGCCGTGATCCACAAAGAGGGGCTCCAGGTGCTGGATCATCTGCTCCCTGTGAACCGTGTCCTTCGTCTCATTGCTCGAGGTGTACATCGGCCGGTGGCCCTGGAACACGACGAACGGCGTTCGGCTCCGGTTCACGCGCTCGAGGTCAGCCTTTATGTAGTTGTACTGATCACTGCCACGGGTAAAATCTGTTTCGGTAGACATGTAGACGAAATGCACAACACCTGCATCAATGGAGTAGTAGAGGTTCCGGGTGTCGGGGGCGCCGGTGCCGGTAGGGAGGGATGAATTCCCGGGCATTCTGAACTTGCTGTATGGCACTCCGCATTCGCCGCCGCCGTCCTTCCCGTTGTACACGTTTGCTGCCCAGGAGGGTTTCCAGGGCTGGGAAGGCCAGTCATACTCGTGGTTTCCAATGCAGACGTGGTATGGTGTGCTGGCAGCGATGGGCTCGATCTGCTCGAAGAAATGATCCCATAACCATGCGTAACCTTTGGCGTAGCTGATGTCGCCGATGTGGGAAATGATTGCCGGTTTGTCGTTGAGAACTTGGAGATCGCGGAGGATCCATTTCACGGTTGACAGACTTTCTTGAGGTGTTCGGAAGTAGGTGTTGTAAGGGACGTAGGTGCCCAGATCGCCGAAGAGGAATGCGATGGTCTCGTTGGCCTCGGCGTCGCGTGAGATGAAGCTGTGTGTCTCACTCCAACCCCCTGAATCGTTGCCAACCTATCAAATGACAGTCCAAACTTCAAAAGATTAGGTGAATGTGGCGTAGAATGAGTGTTTAATTATACCAAATGCTGATGATGTTGGATGCTCATTGTGTTGTTGGAACTTGAAACCATGAGCTATGAAAGATATCTATTCCATGATTGCATCACAAAAACTAGACTGTATATCAAACTGAAGTTAGTGTTCTAAGACTAAACTTTACACAACTTTGAGATGATCCCATCTAAAATGGAAAATGATTTTGCGCATCATAAACTTGGATTTCTGACAATGAGCCCTGTTTATCCGGAAATCAAACTCTTAGATAACAATGTCAGCACAAAATTAGTATGAGTAGGCACAGTTCACCATGTCACTACCTTGTAGGAGTACCGTGTCCCAGGCCGCAGCGCCTTCATGACGCCGTCGAAGACGAACCCGGGGTGGCGCCACCCGACGCTGTGGTTCGCCGGGTGGCCGCACATGTGGCGCCGCTCGTACGTGCTCGCCACCGCCGGCGCCTCCTCCCACTCCTCCTCGCGCCGGCCGGCGGGCCCGTACCTGACGGACCTCCTCCCGCCGTCGCCGCACACGAACAGCACCCTCATCTCGTCCGCCTCGTCGGTGAACGCCAGGTGCAGCTGGGCGGGCCGGGCACCGGATCCCTCGCGGGCCACGTCGCCCGAGACGGCGGCGCGGCGGCTGGCGTCCGGGAGCGGGTCGCCGTCCTGGTCAACGCGCGGGTTCTGGCCCGGCGAGCCCCGGAAGAGGCGGAACTGGTAGGGGGCGCGCAGGTCGGGCAGGCGCGGGAGCGCAAGGCTGCCGGCGCCCGTGGCCCAGGAGGCGGAGGAGTTGAGGAGGAGGAAGCCGAGGTAATCGAGGTCGCCGGAGGTCGGCGGGGAGTAGACGGCCACGTAGTCGAGCGGGCCCGGGTTGGGGAGGTTGGACCATTGCAGGGTCACTGCGTGGTGGTCTGGTTTGGTCAGCGTCGCCGGGGTGGCTGTGAGGGTCGTGGTGGAGGTGGCCGTGGCCTCGCCGGCGGCGAGGTGGGCGGCGAGCAGGAAGAGCAAGGCCGAAGGCGACATTGTAATGCATTTGTTTATGGATGGAGCTTAACTTAATGACTGTGCTCGGGCAGCTCAGATCAGCTTAAACAAATATTTCACGATCGCGCTTCATTTGAGTTCAGTTGACACCTTAACCTCCGGTTTCAAGCTTCATCACACATTCACCCTACCTTTTCTTTAGACAATCACGCGAAGCTTTATTAACTTGTGCCAATGTTCAAAGGTACAAAAGAGAGATTACCAGGGTTGCTTAACCACACATGGCGGCCAACCCCCAATTTTAAACTATGCTTCGCTAGATTGTGAGCCTCGACATTCGAGCTCCTAAACTCATGCACAAAAATGCAAGAAATAGACGAGGAACTGTGCTCTATGATTTCATGTAGAATAGCTCCATATGTAGCTGGCATTTTGCTTTTGATGTCGTGCACTACAACTTTACAGTCAGAGGCAACGTGAATCCTACGTATGTTGAGATCTTCAGCAAGCGCTAAAGCCTCCCTGACTGCTAATGCTTCGAGCATTGCTGGTTCCTTAATTCCCCCGACAACAAGAGCAGAAGCTCCCTGAAAAGTGCCAGCTTGATCACGACATATTGCAGCAGCAACTCCACGTCCTTGGTTGGCTCTGACCGCCGCATCTACGTTGATCTTAGCACATCGGTTGGGTGGCGCTATCCAGTGATGAGGTCTCACTGGTTGCTGTTTTACCTGGCAGCTCCCCACACCTGCAATGATCTGCAGGTCTGCTATATAGGCTTCAATGAATTGATTCGTTCCTTGGGGGCTCTGAAAAACTCCCTCGTAGATAGCCTTGCGCCGAGCTCTCCATGTAGCCCAAAGTGTCACCACCATCCGGACAAAATGCTCTTGGGATAGTTGGTCATGCATCTCCATTAGCCAGTTTTTTGCGTTAGGATTCGTGTTCATACTTAACTGTTGTACCACCTCATCTTCCGAGAGCGCCCATATGCATCTTGACATAATACATTCTAGGAGAGCATGCCTCCATGAGTCTTCCCTCCCGCACAACGAGCACAGATGAGATTCTGACATGTGCCGATGGTGTAATAGGTCCGCCATCGGCATGGAGTGCCTCGCCAACCGCCATAGAAAAACCCTGAGTTTAGAAGGTACCTTGATATGCCATAGCATCGTCCAATCCCCGCGGTTCGAACTCAGTGTCGAGCCCCCAAGGTTGTGCCAGTTCCATCGGTCCTCCTTTTTGGTCATAATCATCTGGTATGCAGAGCTCACTGAAAACCTGTCATTCCTCTCGGCTGACCAGGCCCAAAAATCTTCCACAACCCTAGTGCATATAGGTATGGACAGAATGGCTTCAGCATCAAACGGCACAAAGGTAGTACGGATTAGCTCCTCCTGCCATGGTGTTGTGGTCGTGTCTATGAGCTCAGACACGAACTGGGGTGGATTGGGGGTGAGAGAAGTTATCGGTCTTAAAGGTCCTTGCCTCTGCAACCAGTTGTCTCTCCAAATATCTGTTGTTTGCCCGTTGCCAATCCGTCTAACAATGCCTTGTCTTAAAATGTCTCCCATCTAGAACAACCCTCCATATTTGTGATGGATGATTGCCTAGTTCTGCTTCGAGGAAGTCTGTATCTAGGAAGTATGCCGATTTTAAGATTCTTGCACTGAGAGAGCTTGGTTTGTTCAACAACCTCCATGCCTGGCGAGCCAACAGCGCAAGATTAAATATCTCCATGACCCTAAAGCCCATGCCACCAAGAAACTTTGGCTTTGTCATAACATCCCAAGATACCCAGGCTAGCTTCCTCTTTCCTTGTTTACTCCCCCACCAGAACTGCCGGATTATGGAAGCGGTGTTTTCACACAGACCTCTTGGTAATCGGAAGCATGCCATTGAGTAAACCAGAATGGCTTGCACCACTGATTTGATGAGCACTTCTTTTCCTCCAACTGAAAGAAGTTTCTCCATCCATCCTCTTACCTTATCCCAAATTATGTCCCTCAAGTATTTGAAGGTACCCATTTTAGATTGACCAACTTCCCTGGGCATCCCCAAGTACCTTTCACTCGAAGACTCGTTTGTCACATTCAAAATCTGTTTGACCTCATCTTTCACCGTTTGTGGGCATCTCTTACTGAAAAAATATTGAAGATTTTTCATTGTTTATCCTCTGACCTGAAGCATTACAATATGTCTCCAATAAAACTGAAACCCTCGCAGCCCCCTCAGCACTTGACTTGAAAAGCAACAGGCTATCATCAGCAAAAAGGAGGTGGTTCGCTCCCTGTTCTATCGCAACGAAGTTCGCTCCCTTTTTCACTCTAAAATTGGGTGACGCATCGTCGGCCTTCGCAACAAGGCTCGTATTATAGCTGGCCAAATGGGCCCTGCCAACCAGGTGTGACGCCCCCGATTTGACCGTACACTAGTCATACACGCAAATGTGTACGATCAAGATCAAGGACTCACGAGAAGATATCACAACACACCTCTAGACACAAATTAAAATAATACAAGCTTTATATTACAAGCCAGGGGCCTCGAGGGCTCGAATACATAAGCTCAAATACACAAGAGTCAGCGGAAGCAATAATATCTGAGTACAGACATAAGTAAACAAGTTGCCATAAGATGGCTAGCACAAACTGGGATACATATCGAAAGAGGCGCAGGCCTCCTGCCTGGGATCCTCCTAAACTACTCCTGGTCGTTGTCAGCGGCCTGCACGTAGTAGTAGGCACCTCCAGTGTAGTAGGAGTCGTCGTCGACGATGGCGTCTGGCTCCTGGACTCCAACGTTTGGTCGCAACAACCGGGTATAGAAAGGGGAAAAGGGGGGAGCAAAGCAACCATGAGTACTCATCCAAAGTACTCGCAAGCAAGGATCTACACTACTTATGCATTGGTATCAATGAAATGGGTAGTATCTGTGGACTGAACTGCAAAATGCCAGAATAAGAGGGGGATAGCTAGTCCTGTCAAAGACTACGCTTCTGGCAGCCTCCATCTTGAAGCATGTAGAAGAGAGTAGATGGTAAGTTCACCAAGTATCATCGCATAACATAATCCTACCCGGGGATCCTCCCCTCGTCGCCCTGTGAGAGCGCGATCATCGGGTTGTATCTGGCACTTGGAAGGGTGTATTTTATTAAGTATCCGGTTCTAGTTGTCATAAGGTCAAGGTACAACTCCGGGTCGTCCTTTTACCGAGGGACACAACTATTCGAATAGATAAACTTCCCTGCAGGGGTGCACCACATTTCCCAACATGCTCGATCCCATTTGGCCGGACACACTTTTCTGGGTCATGTCCGGCCTCGGAAGATCAACACGTCGCAGCCCTACCTGGGCACAACAGAGAGGTCAACACGCCGGTCTAACTCCTATGCGCGCAAGGGTCTGGGCCCATCGCCCATTGCACACCTGCACGTAGCGTACGTGGCCAGTGAGCAGACCTAGCAACCTCCATTACAAAGGAAGTTGCGTTAGGCGGTCCAACCCGGCGCGCGCCGCTCAGTCGCTGACGTCACGAAGGCTTCGGCTGATACCACGATGTTGAGTGCCCATAACTGTTCCCGCGTAGTTGGTTAGTGCATATAGGCCAGTGGCCAGACTCAGTGTTGGGGAACGTAGCAATAATTCAAAAAAAATTCCTACGTGTCACCAAGATCAATCTAGGAGATGCTAGCAACAAGAGAGAGGGAGTGCATCTTCATACCCTTTAAGATCTCTAAGCGGAAGCGTTGCAAGAACGCGGTTGGTGGAGTCGTACACGCAGCGATTTAGATCGCGGTCGATTCCGATTTAAGCGCCGAACAACGGCGCCTCCACGTTCAACACACGTACAGCCCGGGGACGTCTCCTCCTTCTTGATCCAGCAAGGGGAGAGGAGAAGTTGAGGGAGAACTCCGACAGCACGACGACGTGGTGGTGATGGAGCTCGTGGTTCTCCGGCAGGACTTCGCCAAGCGCTATAGAGGAGGAGGAGGAAGTGTAGGAGAGGGGAGGGGCTGCACCAGGGGAAGGGTGCAGCTGCCCTCTCTCTCTCCCTCACTATATATAGGGGAAAGGGGGTGGAGGAGGTGCCCTAGGGTTCCCTAGGGGAGGGGCGGCGGCCACAGGGGAAACCCTAGATGGGTTTGGGCGCCCCCACCCCTAGGAAACTTGGCCCCCAAGCCAGGAAGGGTGGCTGCCCTAGGGGAGGCGCCCCCACCTCTCCAAGTTACGTGAGATGGGGTGGGAGGGGCGCTCAGCCCCTTAGTGGGCTGATCTGCCCCCTCCCCTTGGCCCATAAGGCCCCCCAACGCTTGTCGGGGCCTCCGAAACCCCTTTCGGACACGTTGTTCGTCACCCGGTACCCCCAGAACAATTCCGGACTCCAATACCCTTCGTCCAATATATCGATCTTCACCTCCGGACCATTCCGGAACTCCTTGTCATGTCCGGGATCTCATCCGGGACTCCGAACAACCTTCGGTAACCACATACTATTTCCCATAACAACTCTAGCGTCACCGAACCTTAAGTGTGTAGACCCTATGGGTTCGGGAACCATGCAGACATGACCGAGACATCTCTCCGGCCAATAACCAATAGCGGGATCAGGATACCCATATTGGCTCCCACATGTTCCACGATGATCTCATCGGATGAACCACGATGTCGGGGATTCAATCAATCCCGTATACAATTCCCTTTGTCAATCGGTATGTTACTTGCCCGAGATTCGATCGTCGGTATCCCCATACCTCGTTCAATCTCGTTACCGACAAGTCTCTTTACTCGTTCCATAACACATGATCCTGTGACCAACTCCTTAGTCACATTGAGCTCATTATGATGATGCATTACCGAGTGGGCCTAGAGATACCTCTCCGTCATACGGAGTGACAAATCCCAGTCTCGATTCGTGCCAACCCAATAGACATTTTCGGAGATACCTATAACGTACCTTTATAGCCATCCAATTACGTTGTGATGTTTGGTACACACAAAGCATTCCTACGGTATCCGGGAGTTGCACAATCTCAT